GGGTTGGGCTGTGTGACCCCAAGATGGTCTCAGAGCCTCCTAGAAATGGGAATGACACAGCACCCCCTTCATGGCAATCCTTGCAATGAGGACAGGAGAGTAGCTGTGGGGGAGGCCTGGGTGTATGGCCAAGGCCAGCTCCCAAGCATGGGTGACCAGAACACCCACACTTACTGTGTGACACTCGGTCCCACTCTCTCCATCTATAAAATTGAATGATCTTGAAAGACCCTTCTATGAGATCTCGGATTGTGAAGTGCGAGCATATTAGGTGTTAAATAGTAGATGCCTGGGTGGCTCAGTGGTTGAGTGTCTGCCTTTGGCTCAGGGCATGATCCCGGGGTCCCGGGATCGAGTCCCACATCAGGCTCACTGCATGGAGCCTGCTTCTCCCTCTGTCCGTGTCTCTGCCTCTCTCTCTCTGTCTCTCACGAATAAATTAATAAAATCTTTTTTAAAGTTTAAAAAATAAAATAAACTAGCATGTACCATACAGAATGAACATACAGTTGATTTTACAGAATAAATATATGAGCATGTTGGGGCGCCTGGGTGGCAGAGTCAGTTGGGTGTCAGACTCTTGGTTTTGGCTCAGGTTGTAATCTCTGGGGGATCAGGAGATCGAGCCCCCCATCAGGCTCCATCCTCAGCGTGAAGTCTGCTTGGGATTCCTTCTCTCGCCCTCTGCCCCTCTCTACCCTCGATTGTGCCCTCTCTCTCAACCAAATAAATAAATCTTTTAAAATATAGGCATGTCTGTACTTCCTTATATGTGCACAGAATACCTCTGGAAGGTGCCCAGGAAATGGGGTTACCAAGTGGGAGGGACCATGGCCGGGGGGGGGGGGGCTGGGAGGGGCTTGGGGCTTGTGTCTGCCAATGCCGTGCCACACATGGACATTATCTAGTACAGACATGCAGGTGGATTTTTTTTTAAGTCCTTTAGGAGGTTTGATGGTCCCGACTCCTGCCTGATGCTGACCCAACTCCCAGGAGCTGCTCTGGGGGATCCAGGGACCCATGACAGGGATTTGGGGTGATGGCAAAGCCCATTCTTTGGTGTCATCTCCTGGGATCTGCTCCCCTGTCCTCAGTCTGGTCTCTTGTCTCTTGGCCCAGCCAGCTGGAACTCCTCACAAGCCTTCAAACAAGCCAGGCAGGGCCTTGCCTTCAGGCCAGTCCACCTGCAAGTGTCTCCAACCCCCTTCTCCCAGGCGGTCTGTGGGCCCCCCGTACACCATTTGTGCAGATTAGTATCTGTGTCCAGGACCAGCCACACAATTTGCCAGGGCCCAGAGCAAAATGAAAACACAAGGCCCCTTGTTTAAAATTGATTGAGAATTGGGCACCTGGGTGTCTCAGTCCGTTGAGCATCTGTCTTCTGCTCAGGTCCCCAGATGGAGTCCTGCATTGCGCTCCCCACTTAGGGGGGGTGTCTGCTTCTCCCCCTGGCCCTCCCCCCTCTTGTATTCTCTCTCTCTCTAAAATAAATAAAGTCTTTTAAAAATTTGAGAATTTCAAGAGGACACTAGAAGACCGATAAACCTGGCGTATTCTCCTGCAGGGGCCATACCTCTGTGAAGCCAGCCCCATCTGTATCTCCCTCACCAAGACATGGGCTCCCTATTCAGAGAACTCAGGACAGAGTCTGGTACACAGTAGATGCTCAATTAATGTGTCCTGTGAAAGAAGGAAGGAAGGAGCAGTAGAGCAGTAGAGCAGAGGAATGGCAAAGTTTGCCAGCCACGGCCAGCCTGTGTACATTGGCTACAGCCCTGCCCTCTTGGCTGGAGGAAACCTGAGCCAGCTTCCAGGAGGAGGAAAGCTCAGCCTCAGAGGAGGCATCTGCCCCTGTGCTCCCGGCACACCTGCCTGTGCTTGCCCCCATCACAGCACTTACCACTGGTTTCTTCTCTGGGGCTTAGCTGTGTGACCCTGGGAAAGTGACTTACCCTCTGTGCCCTGGTTTCTTTATAGGGCATATTGGGCTAGGGGTGGTGCCTCCTTCATCACAGAGTTGTGCCCTCCTTCGTGGAGAAGTCAGTTCTAAAACTGGCAGTCTTTAGACCCCATCTGCACATGGCACCGGCTCAGTCATGTCCATTGTTACTCCTCGGTGATTCCTGGCTGCACTCTAAGCTCCTGTGGACTCCTGCTCGCCCTGGTTAATATTACAGAAAGCCTGTGGCTGGTGGAAGTCACCTGTGAGCCGACCTGGGGAGGCATCCTCCCCTGGGGGACACAGACTGGGTCCTCAGGGTGCCTACAAAGTACCTGAGCCAGCAGGTTCCTGTAGAAGATTCTTTGGGGGGTTTGCTGGCTCTGCAGCCAGGCGAACTGGAAGTCTGCCCAGAGCCCAGTGGGGGGCTCCCTGGGCACTTGGGAGTGTCACCGCAGTCCCCAGAGCTGCCAGGTGCAGACAATAAACCAAGGAAACCCTGGTGGGTGAGTCATTAGTGGTCCCCTGTGCCTCGTGATGGGAGATGGCAGGCAAGCTGCTCCTGGTTGCTGCTCTTGGGGTCCAAGTGCCACCGTTCAGGAGGGTTCCAGAGCCCAACCTGGTGGGATTTGACTGGTGGGTCAAATCCCTGCTTCTGGGTTGGACTCTGCCTGGCACCCAAAACTGGTTCCCATGGGTCCCAGTGGCACAATGACCACCAGCGGCTGACCACCAGTCGCCCCTGCTTCCTGAGGCAGTTTATAGGGGACGCTGAGGCTTACACGGGGCTGCCTGGAGGTGGCAGCGTGCACTGTCTCCGTGGAGGCCTCTGAAGGCCTTCAACAGGGTCCCCTGGAAGATGCACACCATCTGTCACTTAGGACATATTTAGAAGAGAATGACAAAGGGACCCAAAGAGGCAGAAATGTTGGGGAGGGGGATTTAGATAATGGCAGACAAAGGCAGAGCAGTGGGCAGCCCCTCTGGGCTGGGGGACGCCGGCCTTTCCCTCTGTCCAGGCAACAGCCCTCCTGAGCCCCTGGCCCCAGCCCCCTGCCCGTGTTGGGAACTGTGGCACCAGCCTGGCTGCAGAGACTGTGGCAGTCACCCCCCCCCATCCTGGCTTCTGTCCTCTGTCCAGGTCTCATCATGCCCCCACCTCATGGCCCTGGAGAGTCCCAGTGTCCACCCCCTGCCCTGCGCAGTGGCTCAGGTCCCCCACTCTGTGCCCCCAAATCCCCAGGCCTCCCACCCTTGCACTTGCCATTCCATCTTGGAATCACCCATTTGAGTCCACATCCTACACCAGACCCTAGACTGTGACCTCCTGAGAGCAGAGTCAGTCATGCGGGTGCCTGCTGTGTGCCCAGGGCCCAGCATGTGTGTGGCACACGGTAGGTGCTCAACAAACTGCACAATGAAAGTGGGAGTCCACGGGGCAGCTCGTGTCCCCAGAGCTCCACCTGCAGTTCCCATCTTCAGTGGCTCCCCATGGCTACAGAGCCCCTATCTGGGTGCCCCCAGCACTGCCTTTCCTGCTCCATTACCTTGGGAAATCTTGAGGTTCCCTGCCTCTGTTGGGGGGGGCTGGGGGGGCTGGGGAGGCTGGGAGGGGGCTTGGGCTCTTGCATTGCACTTAGGCTTATCTTGTCTTCACATCCTCCCCAAATTCCATCTGCTCTGAACAAATCTCTCTCTTCCCCTGACCTTGTTGGCCCTGGTGCTCCTTGTGCTCCAGTATAGATACCCAGGAAGGGACGGTCCTCCAGATCACCCCATTTTGGGGTTTGAGGAGAGGGAGCCCACATGGCAAGGCTTTCAGCGGTTGACACGGGGAGTTGCATGTTGGGGTCAGTCTCCTGGCCAACACTTAGTCTGTGTGACCTTGGCCAAGAGCTTAGCCTCTCTGGGCCTTGGTTCTCCTCCCCCACCCCCACAAGGAATGGTTGTACTAAGAGTAGCTCTAGAGAAGAGCTGGAGGCTGGGCGCTGGGGTAGGACAGCTGAGGGCCTCGCCTCAGCTCCAGCTCCCACGCCTGTGCCAGCCAGAGCAGGACCCCCTAACCTCTCTGGGCCTTGGAGTCCTTATCAGCAAATGGTGCTCAGGAGACGCTCTCACAGGGTGGAGGGCTCCAACCAGGGAGGGAGGGAGCATTCAGGGGAAAGGAGCAGTGATTTTCCTGCCTCTCCATCACTGCCTTCTGCCCTGGGCAGAGTCATTCCTCCCAGTCTGCCACCCACCAGCTAGACCCAGGCCCCACCCGGCCTGACACAGGTCTGCACACGGCCCAGGACAGGGTCACTGGTGCGGGGATGGCATGGGACCTGGGGGAGTGATTATTCCAGGTGAGATGGCAGACCGGAACTGGGAGGACTGGGATGAGTGGGGGCAGGGATACAATTCCCACGCTGCACCCTCCTACGGGTGGGTCCGGGGTGACAGAACAGAAGCCACCACGGCCGGCCGCTTTCTGGGTCCTTCCAGACACGAGGCTGCCTGGATCCCAGGTGGCCAGCCCTGAGTGGAAGTGTCCCAGTGAAGAGGACCCTACTGTGCCCCCAGGACCCTGGGTGCCGTGAGGGAGGGGCCAGAGAACCTGGGGGTCCCCATCCCCGTGCAGCCCCCCACGTGCTCCCTTCACGTTCAATGTCGCCCAGAGGCAGGTGGGACCCAAGCAAGGAGCAGCCGCGAACGTGGGGCCGGGTCGCTGGGAGGGAAGGCCTGTGTGTGCGCCTGCGGGGTCTCCGCGGGCTGTGCCTGGGGGGGGCCGGGGTCCCCGTCTGTGCGCGCTGTGAGGGGCGGGATGGGAGGCTCGAGGCCCTCTGGACACAGAGTCCCGTCGTCGGGGGGAGGAGGGCGAGGGGAGAGGGGAGGAGAGCAGGCCGGTCGGAGAGGAAAGCAGAAGCCCGAGCGCACCGCGGGGACGGGGTCAGGAAGGGCACCGGGGCCGCAGGGAGGCGGGGCGGGGCGGGGCGGGCCCGGGGTGCGGGGCGCGACAGGGCGCCCCTCCCCGCCCCGGACGCCGCGGGGGCAGGTCCCGGCGCCCCCGCCCCCGGGAGCTCTACGCGGGCCTCGACTTGCAGCCTCGTCGCCCGCAGCGCCGCTGCAAGCCTAGCACTTTTTGGCTCAATAGCAACAAAAAGCAGTGAGAGAAGGGGGGACCAGGCCAGCGGCGAACCCGGGGCAGGTGGAAGGCGGCGCGGCGCGGGCCCGCGGCGGGAGGGGGGCGCGGGCGGGAGACGCGAGCGCGGCGCGAGGGGAAAAGTTTCCGACCCGGAGCCGGAGGCTGCGAAGTTTCGGCCGCGCCGGGCGGCGCCAAAGCCAGGCCAACACTGCCCCCGCGTGGGCGCGGCGCGGCCCTGCAGCGGGCAGCCGGGCGAGGGCCCACCGCGGCCCTTGGGGAGAAACTGAGGCTCGGAGACGGGGGGCGGGGGGGGGGGAGGTGGGCGGCGCAAGGTCACGGGGGAGGGGGCGCGGCAGAATCAGGCCTCCTCTGAGACCCGCAAGCCCTCCGAGAAGTGGAAATCCTAGGGCGGGGTGGGGGTGTCGTGAAAGCCCAGGAAGGAGGGTGGAAGGGCGTCATCCCAGGCAGGGAAGCCTCATCCAGTGCCCAGGGAAGGGGAGTTGAAGCGTTGCCCCCATCCCATCCCCCGCAGGGTTTCTCCAAACTGCCTAGATCTGTGACCTTTCTTCTGCAGGCAGGGCACCCCTGCCTGTGAGTTGCATGCAAATCCTCCCCATCCACTACCCTCCTGGCCCTAAAATCCCCACCGCCGGCCCCAGCCCAGCACCCCGCTACCTATCCTTTCTGCGGGGCGCCTGGGTGTGGATTCCGTGGCCGTTTCCTCACTGGCCAGGAGGTGGCGATAAAGACCTGGATCTTGGGCTTGGCGAGAGGTTGCGCCCGGCTGCTTGGACAGAGGGGAGGACACGAGGCTTCAACTTTGCCTGGGAGGTCTGTGCAGCGGTCAGATCAACCCACCTGGTCCTTTGCCACCACTCGATGTGATTTTGAACACTGCCCATGCCTCCTCCCCCCACCACTAGGAAAGCAACATCTGGTCCCCACCCACCCAGGATGCTTGCCCTCCAGGGACCAGATGGTGTGAACCTGGCCTGGGGAATGCAATGCAGAAGACAAAGGTTTGTCCACTCCTTTGGAGTCTGGACACCCTCATCCCATGGTGGAGGTCAGCAAGTGGCCTTTGGTTCCAGTCAAAGATGGAAGCTGGCGGGGCCTCAGGGCAGGTGTCTGTTTCAGGTGTGGGTTGATCTGGGTTGACAGAGGCTTGGTCCCAGGTTTGAAGTGTGTGTAGAAGGCTTCTTGCCTTCCAGAAGAGGCGTTCACCTGGAACAAAACCTGGCCCCATGAGGATGCCTTGCCCCCACCCCTCAGCCTCATCTCAGCCATGACTTTGTCCTCTCCTTCTCCTAGGTCCAGGAGCCTTGGAGCCCAGCAACTTGAAGGGTGAGACATAGCAGGTCCCAGCCACTTGAAATGCATGTTTATTTGTGGGGCAAGAGAGGCCTCTCCTCACCCCCTGGCCCATGTCCACACATGGGCTGGAGCTCCAGTAGCCATTCACCCAGGAGCCTGCTGTGACTTCGTGGAGGGCAGGAGCAGCCGGTAGCCCTTAGGGCGGCCTTGCTTCAGGACTGTGTGCAGCACCAAGCTGGGCAGGAAGGATTCCTAGAGAGACAAGGAGGACTGACTGGACGCTCCAGGGGCCTCTGGGCAGGAGATCCCAGGGGGATTCTATACCCCCAGTCCAAAGGGGCAGGCACTGGAGTCAGCCCCACCGTACAGATGAGGAAACAAATGCAAAAAGCCCCCAGCACCTGCAAGTATGGAGCTGGGAATCTGAACCCAGCTCAGCTCGAGACCCCAGCCCTTAGCCACATGCAGGGAGGCTTCACTCGGTACCCCAGCCACCCCCTGGGCAGGAGTGCTCTGGGTGGTTGGCTGCCAGCAGGTGCTCACCAGCTTCTGGCTCCAGGAGCAGGGCGATTTGCCCACTGGCTCCAGAATGTGGTCGGTGTCCAGCAAGGTTTTGAGGTCACCTTGCTGGCTCTGTGTGCTGGCGCTGGGGATGAAGGGCAGGCTGTTCATGAAGGCATCCTCAGATAGGTGACTCTGTGGCTCCTGGGTGGGCCTGGGGAGGGTGGGGACAGGAGCCTGTGAGTTGCATGGACTCTGAGTTCCAGGTCCACCCATGGCTGGCAGGGCCCTCAAGGGCCCCGACCCTTAGCCTGCCCGCCACTGGGTGGGGTAGTCGACAGGGTGAGGAGAGGGCGCCCTGGCAATGCGTAGGAGTCCTGTCCCCTTCCCCAAAGCCTCACAGGCCGGGGCACTCCCAGCAGAACAACGAGATGCTGGCCATGGCCTCCTCCTGGGCCCTGGGGCTTAGGGCTTTGGGCAAACTCTCCAGCCATCTCCCGACACTCCCGGACACCCGTTCTGATGTCGATGATCGGGTGGCTATCCCATTCTCGATGTTGCTCTGCCGGACTGGAGGAGAGAGGGCTCCAGTGAGATCTCTACCTGGCGGGGCTCTGGCACCCCCACTCTCCCCTCCTCCCTCTCTGGCAGGCAAGGCTGGGCAGAACCCTGTCTCCATGGCAACCCGAGGCTCCCCAGTGCCTTCTGGCTGCCTCCAGAGAAGGCTCAGGTTTTAAAACTATCTTGCGTGACTGTTTCTGCCTTTATGACCCAAACTGTGCCCCCCCCACACCATACCCCCTCCTGCTGCAGCCCCAGATGGGCCTTCTTTCCCATAATGGGAAGGCCAGTCATGCCACCGTGGAAATCCAGAGACAATGCCTAGCCTCCTGCAGGGGTGGAAGGGCTGAAAGTCTTTCTTGCCCAATAGCTGCCCTTCTGGCTGGTCAGGGACCCCAAATTCCCCAATGGCTGCCTCGGGATGGAAAGGGCTGGGAAGCAGTCAGCTGGGCCCCGCTCTGGTGGCCACGGTGGACAAAGAAGCTTCTCCTGTGTCAGCCAACTGCCATTGGCCTGAAACTTTCTCCAGTGTTTGTCTGGGGGCACTCTGGCTTCTCTTCTCGGCCGCCGTGTCACCTGCTCTCTGGGCTTTGGCTTCCCCATTAAACAAGAAGTTAGACAAAACTGCAGCTTTTATTTCCAACTTCCTATGACCTTAAGGGGCCTGGGTAGGGTCCCTCCTGAGTCAGTGAAGGTCCTGGATTTTAGGGCTTTACCCACAGCTAGGCTTTGGAGCAGCCGTTTCCTGAAACTGCACACAGGAGGTGGTCAATAAATAGATGGAAGCTCTTGGAGGCCCTGGGGCTGCTATATCCTGAGAAGTGAAGAGGCCGGGCTGATGGAGAAAGGGGTGGGAGGAGGATTGGTAAAGGTTATACCAGAGCAAGGACATGGATTCTTCCCATCTGCCTCTTGACACCCATTTCAGAAAACACTGAAAACTGTGCCAAAGCAGACACCATCACATCCATCCCCAAAGAGCTGAGAGCAAACTTCTATTCCCAAACCCAGGTCTGGTGGTTCCTAGCTTCTTTGCTGGACGGGGTAGTACCAGCCTTCCCCAGAGAGAAGGTTGGATCTTCTAGACCTTTCTGGGCAACTCCTCAGCCAGCCATGCCTTCATGGATATGGGCAGAAGGTGCTTTAAGTGCCTTTGCCACCTTCTTCAGCCCCTGTAAGCCATGGAAGGGGCCAGACAGGGGTCGGGAGGCCATGGGTGCCACCTGTTCCAAGGTGGGCAGATATGGCACTTCCTGAGAACCCCTGGCAGCAAGAAGTCCTGCAGTGGTGGCCAAGTCTGGGTAGCCATTGTTCCCTGCACTGTGGCTGCTGCTCTCTGGTGCCACCCATATTCAGACACTTCTGCAGGACCTCGGACACTCTACTCGGTCTTCGAGGTCCTCCTGACACTCTCTGGAGAAGCCTTCTCCGCAGCATCAGTGGATTCCTGGCCTTTGCAGGCTGGCCCTTACTCCCAGGGCCACAGCATCTGCTCTCTGGGCTCCAAGCTGGAACTTTCTGGAGTCCTGGCGCTCCACATCCTGTCTGCCTACCTGCACAGTTGCGCTCCCAGTAGCGGAGTGCTGTGTCCTGCAGGGTTTCATCAGCAAATCGCACTCGGAAGGGGCAAAACCGCCTGCACCGCCCTGAGCCTTCCCCTGAGGAGCTGTGGGTGAGCACAGTCTTGAGCTTAGGAGCCTGTATATTGTGGGACCTGCTGGGAGAGGTGAGAAGGGCAAGGGAGGGCCAGGGTCGGAGCCCCCAGCCCCACATTCCACCCCAACAGCACACATCCACTCATCCAGAGCTCGCTGTGTATCCTGACAACCACAATACCTGGCCTTTTCAGGGAACGCTTTGCCTGCCAAGGAGGTGGATCAGGCCTGCCACATGCATCAGCCCACCAAACCCACACAACTCTGGGAAGTATGATTATTTTCCCCATTTTGCAGATGAGCAAACTGTGGCACAGAGATGTTTTACAACTTGCCCAAGGTCATGCAGCTCGTAAAAGGCAGAGCCAAGATTTTTTGTTATTTTTGAGCCAAGATCTGAATCTTAGTTCCAGAGCCGGCATGCTTATATATCAAGCAATTCAGCAGAGAGAAGAAAGAGAGGAAGTTGAGAGTCAAGTCATCCTGGGTTTCCAGCCCAACTCTTTGAAGCATCAGTTTCTTTATCTGTAAAATGGGGCTCATCATTGTGCCCACCACATGGGGTGGTGAGATGAAACGGATGGCAAAGCACTCCACCTGGATGTGTGGTGCCCAGAGTAATCATTTCTAACTTCCAATTGCTCTTTTTTTTTTTTTTAAGATTTTACTTTATTTATTCATGAGAGACACAGAGAAAGAGTCAGAGACATAGGCAGAGGGAGAAGCAGGATCCCTGCAGGGAACCCGATGCGGGACTCGATCCCAGGACCTCGGGATCGCGACCTGAGCCGAAGGCAGACGCTCAACCACTGAGCCACCCAGGTGCCCCTCAAACTGTTCTTATAATCATTAGTCTCAGTTATGCCCTTTCCCAGGCACATGAGCTTGGGCAGATCACAATCAGGTCTCCATTTTGCAGTTTTCCTCTTTAAATTATGTATTATATATTGTAGAGCAATATAATAATAGCCTCCTTCTAAGAGTTTAGAAAGTATCAAATAACTTATGGGAGGCGTCTAGTATAAGGCCTGGCATGGGGCCTGCACTCAATAAAGGGCATTCTGTTGTTGTTACATTTATTAATTTTAGCCTCAAGGGCAAGCCTGCAGGAGGGCCTGCTTGATCCATCTGTGGCTCTGTTATTCAGAAATGTCACGTTCCACCTTAAGGACACACATATTGATGTATCTGCATCCATTTATCTGACTACTTCTTTTTTTTTAATCTTTTTTTTATTTATTTATGATAGTCACACACAGAGAGAGAGAGAGAAAGAGAGAGAGGCAGAGACACAGGCAGAGGGAGAAGCAGGCTCCATGCACCGGGAGCCCGACATGGGATTCGATCCCGGGTCTCCAGGATCGTGCCCTGGGCCAAAGGCAGGTGCTAAACTGCTGCACCACCCAGGGATCCCCCTGACTACTTCTTTATGTCTGTGTGGACACGTAAAGGATGCTTTCATCAGCCCACTAAAGAGCCAGGCAGACAGGAGATGGCTACAGGCGTTGGGACCTACTTAGTGATCCGATAGTTGCCTGCTTATCAAGGCCCAGTCTGTGCTGGCCTCAGGGCCAGACCCAGGTGCATCCTGGCTTTGCCCAGAGGACTGAAGTCTCAGCTTCTCCTGTCAAAGGCTTCTGGAGCCCATTCCAGGGCACCCCGGTATACCAGAGAATCTCACACACCATGAAGTGCTCAAGTATTAGCTCTTAAATGTGAAACACTGTGATTGTGTCCATCCCTGCTGTTTGTCATATTTGAGATAATGAGTTCCATACGTGTACTTATTATGTCTTATGAGAAGTAGTGTGTTTCTTTGGGGTGATTGATTTAAAGTTCCTGGGTTGGCAAATGTGTTTCACTTCTGGCACCTATTCTGATCCACTGGTAGCATCTGCCTGGAACACTGTGTCAGGAAGGGTTTGAGGCCCAGTGGGGGAAAAATGCTGAGGTCAAATAATACTGTCAGCCATGGGTCCAGAAGGAGAAGGGATGGCATGTATGTAGTGCATTTACTTTCCTTGCTCTTTAAACTCATGGGCAATGCTCTTCACCTTTCACCTCTGTTTAAGCCTGTTTATGCTGGAGGAGTTTTTTTTTTTTTCTACATTCTTTTCCTCCATTAGAGCTATGGCATCGATATCCAGGTAAGCTATACTGCCCAGGCTCTTCTACCTCCATTCCTTATCTTATTTCCCCCAACATTTGACACGTAGCAAAACCTAATAAAAGCTAGAGGAAGAAATGGACGAATTGATGGTGGGATGGGTAAAAGGATGGAAGATTGGGTGGGTGGATGGATGGATGGACTCATGAATGAGTTAATGAAAAGGTCTGAATAGGACTGGATGTTAGAGGGATGGGTAGATGTATGGATAAGTGGATGAATGCTTCTGTATATGGGTATGTGGACTCGTAGATGGCTTCATGACAAGATTATAGATGGACAGTACCCTGGATTTACAAGTGCATGGAAGGATTTGTAGGTGACTAATCATTGGATTCAGGGATGGATAGAACCATAGAGTTTGTGGATAGAAAGATGACTGGCTAGATGGATGAATGGATGGATAGATGGATGGCTGGGTGCGTGGGTGGAGAGAGATTCATGGATGCATTGTATAACACCTGGTTCGCAGAGAAGCTTATGCAAAGATGGATAGGTGAATGGGAGCAGGAATATCTGAATGGATTCATGGATGGATTATGAATATGTTGGTAGAAGACCTGATGAATAAATGGGTGGATGGATTCATAGATGTTGATGGATAATCCTTGGATAGGTTGGGAGGAGACCGACTCTGGGATAGATCTCTGGGTGGATTCATGGACGGATTATGGATTTGGCAGAAGACCTGATTCGTGGATGGACACACAGATGGATGTATAGGTGGACAGATAGGTAAATTCATGGGCGAAAGACAATAGGAAAGAAAAGAAGGAATGCTCCTTTTCCCCACCCCCTACCGCCAGGCTCCTGTAACTCACTGGTTGCCTTTCTTGAGGGTGAATTGTGAATGATCTTTCCTCAGGGTCCCTGGGACAGGTATCTGATGGAGCAAAATCTTCTTAAGACTATCCTGGAAGTACGATGACTGGCCCCTTGAAGATAAACAAGCCACACCTGGCATGAGTGGTCAGGGTCTTCCCCACCTTCGGATCATTGTCAGCAACCCTGTCCCCATCAGCAGGTAATGGATACTTACCTCAGGTCTGGAAGGAAAGAACAGTGGGGACACTGGGGAGAATTGTGGCAGTGCTCTGACACACTCCTTTTGGGTCGTGATGCTGAGGATGCTAGCCAGGAGGAGGTGGAGATAGCCATGAGCCTTTGCTTGGGGACGGTCCTTACGAGGCTCTCCCTAGTTATATGGCCTTGGGCCTCGGTTTCCTCAACTGTACAAAAGGGGCAATGGGGGACACCTGGGTAGCTCAGCGGTTGAGTGTCTGCCTTTGGCTCAGGGCGTGATCCCGGGATCCGGGATCGAGTCCCACATCGGGCTCCTTGCATGGAGCCTGCTTCTCCCTCTGCCGGTGTCTCTGCCTCTCTCTCACTGTCTCTCATGAATAAATACATAAAATCTTAAAAAAAAAAAAGGGGGGGGAGCAATGGGAGACCCGCCCTCCAGGGGTGGTCGGCAGGACTTCGGCGGGCCGACTCCGCTAGCAGTAGTAGCTCCATTCGCTCCGTTAATGACTCCGCCCCGCCCCCGCCCCCGCCCCGCCCCGGGGCGGACCCGGGCGGGGCCTCACCCGGCGGCGGCCCTGCGCGCTCTGCCCGCCGCTGGTGCAGGAACTCGCCGAACCTGCCGGGGAGGAGCTCCCCTAGGAGACCGCGCAGCGAATCCCGGGCCTCCCGGGCCGCGCCCCGCCAGGGATCCTCGCTCTCCCCCGGCCTGGCGCGCGGGGGCGCGGGTTCCCGGGGCGCCCTGGCCAGGAGCAGGGGCGGCAGCAGGAGTGACCTCAGCGTTGTCCGGTTCTGCGCCGCCCGCTGGGCCACGGTGGGCAGGGCTGGCAGGCGCGGCGAGGGGCTCCTGACGCCCACGCCCATCTCTGGGTACGAGGACCCGCTCGGCCACCACCCGCCGCCGCCGCCGCCGCCGCCTACCCCCGAGGCCCTCCAGCTGTCGGGGCCCCCCGCGCCCGAGACCTCGCGGAGCTGCGGCAGGGGCAGGCTGGGCAGCCTCGGGCCTCCCCTTCCGCGAGCGCCGTCGCCGGGGAGCCCCGTGAACGCCATCTGCTGGGCCCCGGGGTTGGGGAGACGCCTGGGCATTGTCTGGCCCTGCGCTCAGCTCTGGGCATCCTCACGCCAGGGGGGGCGGGGGGTGCCGTGTGAAGTGCAGAGGAGGGCATAGGCCAGCCCCCAAGCCATAGTGCCCGGGGTGGGGAGGGACTTGTGGTTAGGGGGTAACGCCACTGTCTCTCTTCTGGCCGCGAGTGGCTTCAGGCCAGAGCTTGCCCAGCCTCTGTTTCCTCACCTGCAAAATGGTCACGTCAGAGTACATGCCTTTCTGAGTTGCTGTGACGTTTAGGTGAGTGAGCACGTGTAAATGGCATGGAATAGTGCCAGGCACTTTGTGCATGCTCAGCAAAAGCCAGCTGCTACAATTGTTGTTATAATTACTTTAAAACTGTTATTATTTAGGATTTCGTCTCAGTTCCACTACTTATTAGCTTTGCAACCTTGGACAAGCCAATTGATTCACTTCTCTCATGCCTTTATCTGTAGAATGGGGATAACAGAGCACCTGCCCCTCTGTGACTAAGCACACTGGAGTGTTCAAGGTCCACTTGCTATTATGTGGAATTAGCTATTATGCTAATTAGCACTCCACCGGGAATTAGGAAACCTGGAACCAGGTTTGAAAGGAGACACCTGCCTACCAGTTGCCCAGTCCTGCTGGAGCCTTAGGGCCCTTTGGGCGGAGAGCTTGTTGAGAGCACAGATGCCCCAGATTCTGATTCAATAGGTTTGGAGCCAAGATACATATTTTTTCTTTAAGATTTTATTTTTAAGTAATCTCTACCTCCAATGTGGGGCTCGAACTCACAACCCAGAGATCAAGAGTCACAAGCTCTACTGGCTGAGCCAGCCAGGCGCTCCAAGACATATATTTTTAACAAACTTGCCCTTTGGGAGACAGAGTCCTACACTTGCTCCCAGCTTTTGACACGGGGGTGGGGGAGGGGTGGGGGGTGGCGTCTTAGAGCCTGCTCCCTCCCTACCACACTCCTCCCAGATTGTTATCTCTGAGCTGGCTCCTGGTGTCACACTCACCTTAGTGGGGCTTCTAGTGGGTCCAGAGAAGGTCCTTTGAGTTTAGAGCCCCCTAATTGGTGGGCTGGTCCTTGGGAGATCCCATCTTCCCAGCCTGGTCTCTCTGCTGCACCCTCCCTGCTGCCTCAAGGGCCTGTTCAGGGTCATTGTGATCTGCCCCTCACCCAAGGCCATGTGAGGAAAGCTTTTGGGCCTGAAGACAGAAGGTGGGGCTTTGTGCTCAGGAAGCCAAGGCTATATTCACAAGGGGGTTGGTGGAACTCCTGACCAGGGCAGCCAGGCCCAAGCCAGGGGCAGAGGGCTCAGGGTTCCACTTCCCTCTCTGGATCTGGGAGGCCCAGGTGGGTCAAGTTTGAGCTGGGCAGCTCTGGAAGTACAACTTCCACCAGAAGCCTGGGCAGTAAGAATATAGTAGGCCTGGAAATGAAGAGAACCAATTTCAGATCCAGGCTCTGCTTCTGTTTGCTGTGTAATGCTGGAAAGTCTGTCTGTTCTCAGGGTAAAACAGACTGTTGGGCCCCATCTGTGACTCTTGACTAGGAAGGGCAGGGGAGAAGCTTATTCTGTGAAACATGAGTGGGGGAGAAGGATTGTTTGGACCAGCAATTTCACTGGCATGATATCATTTTACAATTTTGTAAGTCTGCCTGGAGGAGGCATCATAGTTGATGTATTTCCATTTTCTGCAAATACTCAATGGGATGGAAGGGCATACTTCCTCAGGAAATTGGAATATTGAGTGGGGAAGGTGAACATTTTTTATATTTATTCTAAGAGCACGTGAGTTTTTAGAAAATGGATGAGGAGCACCTCACTAACTAGATGATTTCTAAGGAGCCCTCTAGCTCTTGGCATGCTGCAAACATTTCTTGACCAACTACTGTGTGCAAGGCTTGGGAATTCAGGCTCCAATTCAGGTTGGAGCTGTCCAGATCTGGAAAGGCCTCAGAGACCAGGTGTAGGGAAGGGACTTTCTCATCCATTGACAGGGAAAAAAAAAAAGGTGGGGGTGGATTTTTAGGCACCCCTAAAAGAGCCGGGCTCAGAGCTGCCCCCAAAGGAAGATTATAGATGCACCTAGCATTTGAGATTGCTTAGGATTTATCCCCTTCCCTTTAACATATGGAAAATGAAGCTTAGGACAGGGGCCCAGGTCAGGGAAACCAAGTCTGACCTGGAGTACTCTGGAGAGGATGCCATATAATATATACATAAACGGATTTGGAGGACTCCACAGCAGTCAGCAGCTCCCCCTCCTGTAGCTTTCACTTCGTTAAACACTTTTTAAAAAAAGATTTTATTTATTTATTTGTGAGAGAGTGAATGTGTGTGAGAAAAAGCATGAACAGGGGGAAGGGGAAGAGGGAGAAGCAGACTCCCTACTAAGCAGGAAGCAGGAAGCCGGATGTGGGACTCAATCCTAGGACCCTGGTATTATGACCTGAGCAAAGGCAGACGGTTAACCGACTAAACCACCCAGGTGTGCGAGCAAACACACTTTTAAAGAACCTCCTGTGTGCAAAGCCCAGAGGAAGGCACTGTAAATCTAAGACCAGAGCATCAGTTTAGGAAAAATGAACTAATGATAAATACTATTTACTGAGAGCCCCCTGCAGGCACAGGGCTGAAGGTGGGACCTGGGCTATCCTACACATTGAACACTGTCAGAGAGGAGATTGAGGCTTGGAGAGGTTCACAAGGCCTACCCACCTGCAAACTCACATTCCATCAAGATTGTTTCAGGGACCCCTCCAAAATTTCTATATATGGGAGGAGCCTATGGGAGGTCAGGTTTTTTGGAATGGAAACTTCAAGATCTAGTTCTGTTTATTTGGGGTAACAGCCTCTTGGCACTGTCAAGGATATCTTCCTTTCTTTCTCTGTTCTTTCCTTTCTTCCTTTGATCTGTATGTTTTTATTTTTTTTTTTAAGATTTTATTTATTTATTCATGAGAGACAGGCAGAGACACAGGCAGAGGGAGAAGCAGGCTCCATGCACCGGGAGCCCGACGTGGGATTCGATCCCGGGTCTCCAGGATCGCGCCCTGGGCCAAAGGCAGGCGCCAAACCGCTGCGCCACCCAGGGATCCCCCCATGCATATTTTTTTTAATGCAAATTATTACGGGTGCAATTTGGGTAATAAGGCACCTCCTCCCCCCCACCCCTCCTCTTTTTACCCAGTGGAAAACCTGCAGAACGCTCGCTTTTCAAAGTCCTGCCGTCAGCCTCTAACCGCACTGGTTCGCGCGCTGGAGGCAAGAGAGGCGCGGCGCGGAGGCTCTAAGTCCGAGAGGTCCTGCCACGGACCCAAAAGTCAACTGAGATCAGCCGCCCGCGGGGCGGGGCGGGGCGGGGCGGGGCGAACCGGCCGCGGGGCGGGGCTAGCGGCGGCCCCGCCCCGGGCTCCCGGAAGTGACGTGTGGGGACAAAGGCAGCGCGCGCCGCGAGGTGTCGCGTCTGTCCGCGGTCTGTCGGAGCTGGTGGTGGGCTTGTGGGGTCTTCGCCGCCGCCGCCGCCGCCGTCTTCCCCATCCTCTTTCCCGTCCTCTTCTCCCGGGTCCCGGGAGCCCCCGCCCGGGGTGAGTAGCGCGCGGCGGAGCGGGGAGCGGTGGCCGCCGGGGGAAGGGAGGCCCCGGCCCCCAACTGCCTCGGCGCCCTGAGGCCCCGGCTCGTCACGTGACCCGGCGCGAGCTGCCCGAGCCCCACGTGCGGGCTCCGGGGTGGTCGGACCTGGGCCACCGGTGGCGGCGGGTGGGGGAGGAAGGTCGAGGCGGCCGGACCCTGGACGGGGCACTCCCCCGGGGGTGCGTCCGGGGACCGTAGCTAGGCCCTTTCCCATCTGAGCCTCAGTTTCCCCTGTGAGAAACGGGGATTAAGGAGAGCACGCACTCGGAGGGTAGGTGTCAGGATTCAGTAAAATGCTCAGGTCAGAGCCGGGCACAGTAGTGCCCGTTGCGTGGGAGTCGCTATCGTATTTCACCTTGGACCCGGCTCCCGTTCCAGCTCCCCACTGGTGCCACTCAGAAGGCAGCTCTCCGCGAGAGCCCTTGGAGCCAAGGTCAGCCTGTTGGCCCAGGGGCTGCCAGATCGAACCAGAGGCCCAGGCTCTGCTGCCCATCAACAGCGGGATCTCTCTGGGATAGAAACAGCTGGTGTCAGAGGCCCTGGCAGTGGGGCGGGTGGGTCTTGTACAAGGTCTGAATGTGTAGAATGATTGCCCAGAGAGAGAGATGATCCCCTGGGGGATGGGGGCCTTGACTGTGTTAAGGGGTCTGAATTCCCTCCTTCGCTGTTCTTGGTTTCCTGTGTGTGTTTGTGTTAAGGCACAACACTCCTTTAGTGGAATGGCTTTCTGTCGGTCAGCTGGGGCCTGGGGGAGGGTTGGAGGTACATGCAGAATGCTTTGGTGGGGACCAGAAGCCATAGGGTCACAGAGGTAGCATCTCCAGAATCTGCACTGTTTCTGTGCTGGAACAGATGGGAAGCTCACTCCCCTCCACTGCAGGTTTGCAGAGCTGTTTGTCTGCTGGACCGACCCCCCAGCATAACAGTAGTGATCCCTTAGGTGTTTCCAGCACTCTACAGTTCATAAGGCATATCACTGCATTATTCCCGTTTGATCTCTACAATTGGCAGAGAGAATTGATGAGAATTTCATTTGACAGAGATTTCTGAACTTGAGATAATATGTACCTGCCACTGTACAGATCACTTGATGCTTTCACACCGACCTGTGACGATTGTCACAGCGTTTCTGTAAAGTCAACATTGCTGTTTCCATTTTATAGATAAACTTAACTGAAGTTAGGTGTCTTATCTGAGATTAGACGGCCAGAGAAAAGCAAAGCCAGGATTCAGATGTGGTTCATTTGACTCTACCAGAGCCCCATCTCTCCTCCTCCATCTGGCCTTTTTTCGTCTTGTTTACTTCCTCCTTCCCTTTCTTTTTCATAGAGCACCTTGCCATTCCCATATGTCCAGCTGCTGTCACAGATCCAGGGAGAACAGGCCCTGTCCAGTAGGCTGCAAGAGGGAGGAAGTAATGTCAAGCAGGCTCTTGCCTCCTGTTGCTTCCAGGTTTTTTCTTATTGGCTGGTAAATGAGGAGGATGTGATGCCTCCCCAAAGCACTGATGGTGACAGTTCAAACACCATTTTTTTCCATGGACCCTGGGAGAAGTAGTAGCTGGGGCGGCTGCCTAACCACCTTGGAGGGAAAGAGGAGGTGGCTGCATGACCATGAATGATGGACAACACGTTCTACCTGCTGAAGAGCATAGTCCACTGTGAACAAAAGGCTTCTCTTCCCATCCAAGCTAGCTAAGGATGCACACAAAGCCAGATTGTGTCCAGGCCTTTTCCCACCCCTGCAGCCACATAGCTCCTCACCACAACCTGGGCAGAGTAAAGGAGGGCTTACTGCTATTTGACTGACAACCCCACTGTTCCCTTGGACTCCTAGGGTCCTCTTTCCCACTCTGATCTGGACACTGGGAGATAAAGTGTAGACAGGGCCCCAAGGAGTCACGTTTACTAATTAATCAGCTGTTGGAACAAATGTCAAAATCATACTTGCCTTTATTTCCCATCCTGGATGTTCCTCCCCTGGCTTGTTCCTAGAATCTGCCTGTAAGTGGAGTTCTTGTAAATTAGATTATTCAGAGGACCTTGACATTTAAAGAAATCATGTTGTAAGGCTTTTGGTAAAGCAAAAAATTACATTGTCAGTAATGGCTTTCAATGTTACCAGTTTTGAATGGTTGGATTTTTGTAAGACTTTTTCAGAAGTGGAGAATGTAACCACATAAAGCTCATTCTTTGAATCCTTCAACAATTAGCAAACCCCCACCTTGTATCAGGTGCTGGGCTAATGGGGTATGAGGTCCTGTCCCTGTCCCCAAGAAGCTTGCTTTCTTGGAAGGGAAGGCAGACAGGCAAAGAGAGTACAGCCAGGTGAGTGGCCCCACATTTATTCTGTTCATGTAGTGGGGATTGAATTTTTTGTTGAATGCCTGTATGCTACATGGGATGCAAGAGAAATAACAGTGATGCATCTCAGGATATTGCCACTGTTTTTCTAAGGAGCTCCCAGGCTGGTGGGGAGACAGATATGAAGACAAAACCAGCAGTTTGCCAAGACTGGCGGGCAGTGATGGGGACGGAGTTGGTGTTGCTGAGCTCCCGTCTGAGTGCTGAGTAGGAGCTCTGCTGGCATGCTGTGGAAGAGCTGGCTTTGATGCCATCTGTCCTGGGTAATGGTGGAGAGGCTGTGACATGGTGGCTGTGGGTCCTGTTGATGGGGGCTGGGCAGCCCCAGACTGAGCTTTGTGGTGACATTCAGGCTGGTGGCCCTCTTTCCTGTCAGCTGTCCGGGAAGTACAGTGATCTCCATTCTACCAGCTGGCACTTCTGGGTGTTGGCAGGTTTCTGTGTTCTCTGGCTTACCATGTGACTCAGGGCTGGAGCGGAAGTTCATTCCTGTTGAGCTGTGTGCCACTTTCTCTCTACTGTGTGGAGGAATAGCCTCAGGTGCTAGGACACTGGTGTGGGACATGGCGGTGAGCCAGGGTGAGGGGATGCTATATTTAGAACCAGGGCCCCCCAGCCTGTTACCCCAAAGGGCTCTTCGATTGACACAGTAGTTGGAACTTGCCTTCACTGCAGTCCCAGGCTCTTGTACCTGAACGGAGAAGCTAGAGTATCAGTCTGAGAGCTGATTCAAGAATCTGAAGGGGCGGAAAAAAAAAAAAAAAAAAAAAGAATCTGAAGGGGATTGAAGGACTCTCCACACAGCAGAAGGGCTCCAGAGGACGGAAACAGTGACAATCACAGATCTAAGAACTGGACCTGCTAGGGCATGTGGATGCTGTCGCTTTTCTTCTGATTCCTCAGAGGGCTAGTGTGTGGCCTTGTCCCTGAGGAACATACAAATCCAGGAAGAAGCCAGGGGTTGGGGAGGAGGACCCTCCCCTGATGCCCCTACTGGCTAGCTGGGTTCCCTAGAAAGGGCTGACCTGGTGGAAGCAAGATTGCACCAGTGAGGAGCATTCCTGAGTTGTTGGGTGGAATTGGGCCTGCCGCTTCTGGAAGGCTCCTTGTCTTCTAGGACAGGTTCAGAGTACAGTTGTGCGTTGGGGACTAGTAACAAACATGGCCAATGAAAATTCTGTCCTAGTCAGAATATATTGAGGGCTGTATGCTTGTCCTTAGGGCACTTTTCTGTTTCCCATCTGATTACTTCTCTTGAAACCCTTAAAGCATTCGTGCATCCTCGGGGTTTTTTTACTTGTTTTTGAACACTATTCTGGGGTTCCACATGAAGCTTTCTGTGTTATCCCATCTTCCAGGAGTCCTGTGACCCCTGCACTGAGGGACTCCTGTGGGCTCAGTGCTGGGGACACAGTGGTGAAAAGGCAAGGTCATGCCTCTGGAGCTTCCATCCCACTGGAGGCTAGACAGTAAGTAAACAGTGTAATATAGAAATATACATTCTGATGGCAGGAAAATGTGGGGATTGGATCGAGGTGTTGGAGGAAGCCACTCTCGCTGGGCTGCTCCTGGAGGGCCTCTGGGGATGTGACCCCTGAGCTGAGAGCCTATGATGGGAATGTGCCCCTGTTGTTATCTTCCTACAGCGCTGCTGCTCCTTATCCCAACTGCCAGGGTGGCTCCTGCTGTTCCCACTCTGCCAGTTGGTCCCACCCAAGCTTATATCCCGGCATACCTTGGGTCCTTCAGAAACTCTCAGCTCATTGGTTTTCCATTACCAACAGGCTAGACCCATGGCCCCCAGCCTGTTGCTGGAGCCTCCTGTACCCAGGACCAGTCTGCCCATCTAAGCTCATCTCCCCATAATAACCCTCTTCCTCTGCATTCCAGTCAGCCCAGGCCATCACAACAGTCTTCTGGGTGACACACGTGCCCTGCCCCCTCTGTGTCTCTTTGTGCTGCCCCCCTCCCAGCATTACTTGTCTTCCAGGGACTAGCTCAGGTTGCCTTCTCTCAGCTGCTCCCCTGTCTGCCATTTGGAAAGGAATCCTCCATTCTTTAAGTTTCCATAGTACTTTTGGCTCAGTGCAGACCCATTTTGATGCATGCAGATGCCTCAGTGTAGAGATCTGACCCTTCGGTCCCTCCCTGGCATGAGTGGCTGGGTGTGGAGCTGCCAAACCCTCCCCTCTCCCAGGCCCAGGCTCTTGCTTTGTCATTGCCTCTCCACCTGTTCTGACAAACACCCTCTTGTTGCATCTGCTCTCACTCTCGCCCTGGAGTCCACACAGCTTGTCAACCGAGTTCCAGAAACATACATCTATTGTCACTTCCCTGCTAGACTCTCGATTAGTTTAAGCTCCCTGCTCTTTAGCGAGGAGTCTAATCTACAGATGTGCTCCCCTGACTATGTATTTCCAGTTGCAGGGGCTCTCTATGTGCTTTTCACGCCTTTCTTCCTGGAGCAGGCTTGCCTGGTTGGCTTAGTGAACCCTTCCTCATCCTTAGTTTTAGCTGATGGTCATCACTCCTCAGGGAAGCGCTTCCTCTGGGGTGTGTTGTGCTTATGTCTTGTACTTGTCTGCAGCCCTGCACAGTTGCCATTGTGTGCATGGAGCTATAGAGAGTCCTGGCACCTTAACAAAGGACCAGACCCCACAGCGAGCTTCATTCTGTGCTCTAGAGTGAGAGGGAGGCATGCAGATTCCCCAGAACCCTCCCACAATCAGCTGGAACATCCACTGTGGAAGGTGGGGTTCCCTGCTTCACTTTCCTCAAGTGTAGATTGGGGGTTCTCGATACCCTAGAGTTAGAAGCCATCGGGTCAGGTGTCCTGTATAGTAAGGAAAGGACTAGAAGCCCAGGACTCTGGGTCTTCTCCTCTGATACAGAGGTAACTTTGCAAAATGTCTTGAATACGAGAGACAGCACTGTCATCCAAGGAATAGGAGCAGTTTTGGGGACACTGGACATCTCTCTGCATTGGATAGGGTTACATGACCAGTGAAGCGTTGGGTGAGACTGGGGCCCTTGACTTGGCTGATTTGCTTTTTTTTTGTTGTTCAGGAGGCACTGCTGCTGGGTTTGGTGCCCGAGCTGACTCGGTTGGTGACAGCATGACAAGTGAGGTGATAGAAGATGAGAAACAGTTCTATTCAAAGGCCAAGACGTACTGGAAGGAAGTCCCGCCCACAGTGGACGGCATGCTCGGGGGGTATGGCCACATCTCCAGCATCGACATCAGCAGCTCCCGGAAGTTCCTGCAGAGGTTTTTGAGGGTAGGCAGGTCTGGTGTGCTGTCCAGGAACAGAGGATGTGGCCCTGGTGGCCCTCCCTGTTCTGCATGGGGCGCCACTTTTCACACGGATCACCACAGGGTTTTTGGTTATCTGTTGGCGTCGACCACCCAGGCCTCGAAGGCTGGGGCGGGGGCAGCATGTAGACTGGGGCCTCTGTCTCAGGGTTGTCAGATGGGATCTGGTCACTGTGCGAGGGTTTCCGGCACCAGCACGGAGTCTCACTTTAACCGTTCCGTTTTGTCTGGATTGAATCCTTCACTCTCTTGCCATGTTTGCGGGCTGTTGGGCTGTAGGTGCTGGCTGTTCTGCTGAAGGCGGGCTCCTAGTTGTTCACCTGCCCTGCCCTCCTCTGTGCCAGGCTGGCGTGTGCCCAGCTGTGGCCTCCCCTGGTGAGCATCAGAGGCTGGTGCTTGCTCCTCATTCTACCTGATGTCTCTCTGCCCACTTTCAGTCTTCCATTCTTTCACTGCTTAAATTTTTTCCATCCTGTTGTTTTAATGGGGCTCTGGGAGTGAGAGGAGATAAATGCACCTATTCAAATTACCCATCTTTAAGTGGAAGTCGGCTTTCATTTTAGACAGGTGGCCCAGGACAGGCACAAGGTGTGCTCCTGCCCACTGGCGACCCCATGTGTGCTAGCCCACAGCCTACATGCCTGGTCCTTACTGGAGTGACCTTGGGAGCGTGGGAGGAACAGCCCTTCTTAGGGACAGGGTCCCTCGGGCTTTTTGAGCCTTCCTTACGGAGTCTGTGCCTTCTCTGCTTCTTAGGAAGGCCCAAACAAGACGGGCACCTCCTGTGCCCTGGACTGTGGAGCCGGCATAGGCAGGATCACCAAGAGGCTGCTGCTGCCGCTCTTTGGAGTGGTAGACATGGTGGACGTGACAGAAGATTTTCTGGTTAAAGCCAAGACGTATCTGGGGGAAGAGGGCAAGAGGGTGAGGAACTACTTCTGCTGCGGCCTCCAGGACTTCAGCCCCGAGCCGAACTCCTACGATGTCATCTGGATCCAGTGGGTGATAGGTGAGCTTTCCCCAGCCCTCTCCACCTTCCACACACCTCCTGCCACAGAGGTGGTCCCCCCGGAGTCCTGGAAGCCACTGCCCCCAGGGCACCTGCAGCAGGCAAGATGGCAGGGGTTTCTCTAGCCTTCCCTGGGCTCGCCATGACTGTGGAAGGCACTCCCTTAAAGTACACCTTCCATGTTTTATCAGTACCTTTTATGACCCGTTTGGGTGCAGTTTTTTTGTTGTTGTTAAAGATTTATTCATGAGAGACACAGAGGCAGAAACATAGGCAGAGGGAGAAACAGGCTCGCTGCAGGGAGCCCAATGTGGGACTGGTCCCAGAACTCTGGGATCATGCCCCAAGCTGGAGGCAGACACTCAACTGCTGAGCGACCCAGGTATCCCTGGGTGCAGTTTTTTGTTGAAAAAATGGAAATGACCAATAACTTACCGCATTCAAAGAACTTGGAAATGAGTTTTTATAAGTAAATGTTTTTTATTAGAGGAAATATTGAAGCCTTGGCTACTCCTGCTGTTCACAGTGAGTGAGCCATGCTTTACCGTCCATCCTGCACCTACTTAGCCTAGCAGCACACCCAAGGCACTCTTCCTGGGCTGCTGACTTGGCAGCAGGTGGGGGGGGGAGGGCACTGTACCAGCATTTGGCCACCCACTTCATACTCCATAACAGATACCACAGCCCTGCTGGGGACACACTGGGTCTGGCCCTATATTTTGTGGTCCCTAAAAGCCTATCTGGAGGTTTGTTTTGGTTTTTTTTTGCCTGTCTGGAGTTCTAATTAGGGAAGGAACCGTTTGGTACATTCCCCTAATCCAGGCCTCAAAGCAGGGGGATTGGCATGGAGCGTAGGTGTCAGGCAGGGCTCAGAAGTCGTCCACTCAGGGCGAAATCCCAGCTGTGTACTTTGTGACTGCTCTCTGGTGAGTGGCTTCTGAGCCAGCTTCCTCTTACATGGAATGGGATTTGGTAAGCTTCTCTGGACTGCTGAGAGCCAGGGAGGCCCTGTGTGTTTAGACAGCTCAGTAAGGCAGTGAGAGGAGGCTGAGAGCCATGCATGGCCAGTGACATATACGTGCTTGGCACCACTCCCTCCCTAGTGACCCCAGCCTCTGTTGTCCCCAGGCCACCTGACTGATCAGCACCTGGCTGAGTTCCTGCGGCGCTGCAAGCAGGGCCTGCGCCCCAATGGCATCATTGTCATCAAAGACAACATGGCCCAGGAGGGTGTGATCCTGGATGATGTGGACAGCAGTGTGTGCCGGGACCTTGACGTGGTCCACAGGATCGTCCGCAGTGCAGGCCTCAGCCTCCTAGCCCAGGAGCGCCAGGAGAACCTCCCTGATGAGATCTACCACGTCTACAGCTTAGCCCTGAGATGAGCGGGGGCTGGCAGGAAAAAGGGACCAGTGTGGGGTGGGGACTGGCAGCCGGGCAAGACCCAGAGGCTCCATGACGATGGTTTGGGAGTGTTGAGCAAGACCGCTAAATATACCTGTCTGCCGTCCATCACTAGACTCTTTTTCAAAAGACATAATGGGACCCAGTGAGGAAGGGTGCCCCTGAACGGAGCAGTGAGGCTGGAGCCTGGCTCTGCTGCTTCTCTGGGCAGTGCAGACTCGCGTGACTTCAGGGCCCCTGGTGCTCCCCACTGGGAATAGTGATCCCATCAGAAGTGGAGATTCCCTGGATCTCCCTTCTACCATCTGGCCTTCCAGCTGTAGGCCTGGCTGCCTTAAGAGGAAGAGAACTCTTGGTCATAGAGGACTTTTTTCCCTTGGGGGGAGGAGAGGAGTCGGGCCTGGAGCTGGCACTGTCACCCTGTTGCTACGGCGAGCCTGGGCAGGCCTGCTACCTCCTGCAGCTGCAGGGGATGTTTGCTTTCTGAGGCCTGTGTGATGGAGCCCTGGTGTCCCTAATGTGATCGTTACAAGTCTGCAGCCTCACTCCTGGCTGGGCCTGGCAGCTCCTCCTCGGTGAGCACTTTCAGTCAGAAAATAAATGGGTGAATCCTGTAATGGGAAGGCCCTAGCCAGTGTGGAGTGGTACTCTTTTTTAACTGGGACAGCAGTGCTGTGTTGTCCCCACCAGATGCTGCCATCCCCTAGTGCTTCTCACCTCTTAATGGCTGCAGTGGGAACCTTTATCTGAGGCTGGGGAAGGGTGAGGGGCCAAAATGTCACCTTGAAGGCCAAGAGAAATGTTTCACTTTATAATGTATCTTTAGTTGCCTCAGCTTGCTTCCCCAGCATTTACACAATTCATAAGGGCCCGTGTGCCTGGGACTCGGCTTTGTGAGGGCTCGGCCTGGGCAGTACAGTCAGCTTTCAGCAGTGTAGCTTTCTTCATCAGATGGACCCCTCACAAAATTGAGACATTTTGGAAAGGACTGTCTCTGGTCATGCAGAATTGCTTTTAGCAGAAGACACGGTCTCCCAAGGTCCCAGGTTTGGCACAGACAGCTGCCACCAGAGTCCAGTCCCATGCCTTGGTGGCTGGGCCGTGGGTGACCTGGTCCCAGAACGGCCAAAGGTGGCAGGGGTCAGCTCAGCTTTCTCCCTAGCCCACCAAAAGCACTTCTGTATGTGACATAATCTAGCATGAGGAGAGGCTGGGAGTGAAGGGCCTTGCAGGGTTGTCCCCCACAAGCCTACCATGCTTCCTTCTGGCTTTAGCTGGGCCCCGTGCAAGACAGACCAGCCTCCTGCAGCTCTCAGGAGGACAGAGACTCAAAGCTACCCTGCCTGATGCTCCCTGCAGACGAGGTGTACACTTGTCCCAAATCTACACCCTGTCCCTTTTCCCAATGTGGTTGAGACTTGGGGTTCTGGCAGACAGAAGCGGGGGCAGTCCCCCTGGAAGACAGAGTTTTTTTCCCACAGGAATGACCGCAGCTGCTGGGCTCCACCTGTGTTCTCGGTACACAGTAAGGATCAAGTCTCATCTCCCAACCTGTACCTTCCGGAAGACGGCCAGAAGGTTCTCCCCTAAGGCTGCCACAGGTACCAAAATCCACCAGCAGGCTGAGCTGCCCAGACCCTGCACCCTTCCATCCGGGAGTGGTCAGATGTCCTCTTCAACGGTACCACTATGCTCACTGAGGAGGTACCATTTCAGCCTGTCAGGCAGAGGTAGGGCTTTGACCTTCGCATCCACAGGCCAGGGCTGAAGATAGAGCCGGATGTAAACCCGACATAGGTGCTTGAGGGATGGAGGATAGCTCTCCAGCTGCCTCAAGGAGAAGTGAAGGGCCTGGATCTTCTCTGCTAGACTGCCCACAGGATGGATATCGAAGTTTTCAGGCAGCTGGAGTTTCTGGGAATTCGTCACCATGAGATCTAGGACGGTCTCAGCTTTGCGCAGGAGGTCCACGTGGCTCTCATCTTCAGCACAGCCTGGGTGGGAACAGAGCCTCTCAAAGATGATGTGGAAGCCAGACCAGCAGGATGCACCATGGAGGGAACAGTTATAGGCAGCTCCAGACTCCAGCAGGAAGCGCAGGAGAGGGAAATGCAGTTTGAAGCTCTTGAGGCAGATGTGTGTGAGGGACTCATGGGCTGGGCACTCGCTGGGGTCAGCCCCATGGGCCAGGAGCAGCTGTGTGACTTGGAAGCAGAAGCGGCTGATCATCTGGGCCTCTTCTTTGTCCCCTCCCACCGTCTCACCAAGCAGGAAGATGATGCAGGTGAACACAGTGTCCCCGTCTTTGGTGGTAGCCTTCACATCTGCCCCTACAAGAGCCAGTCAGGAAAAGAGAAAACAGGAGAAGGTCTTAAACCCCTGCAAAGTAATGCTTCATGTTTAATGGTGGGAAGAAAGAGAAGGGCCTGGGAACAGCTTGTGGACCAGCCTCACCTCCTTCCAGTAAGAGCCGGATGTTCTCAGTATTATAGATCTGCACCCCGTCACTGCTGGCCAAAGCATGGAGCAGAGCAGTCTTTCCTATGGAAGGAAGAGAATGAGGAGTGTGGACCAGGAAACCAAGGTCAGGACCACCCCTCAGGTGCAGGGGACACCACACAGGATGAGAAAGTGGACTTTGTTTTGTTCTCAAGGATTTTAAGTAATCTTTACACCCAACATGGGGCTTGAACTCACAACTCTTGAGATCAAGAGTCACATACTCTACCAACTGAGCCAGCTGGGCACCCCCAGAAAGCAAACTTTAAAAAGGATCAACTTCTCAGCCAAGGTGGAGGGTGATGGGTTTCTAGTCATTCCCTTTCCACCCACACAGAACCAAGAGCAGAGTGGCCAGAAGACGTGGGATATTTCTGGACACGCAGATGCTGCTACCTGAGACCTGGGCTGAGTCTCTGCCAAGAAGTGCTAACTCTGCCTCAGAATCTGACCACATGCATGCCCTACTTCCTCCTACAGACAGACCTCAAGGGGCTGGCATGGGGCCAATGGCTGCACCACTTCCTGAAAGCTTCTGCAGGTCAGCAAAATGCAGCAAAATCTAGCCTGCACGCCTAGCCACTGTCCTGGGGTGCTCTGGCTTTCCCTCGCAAAGCACCCAGTGCCAGGTGCCCTGCTTTCCTGTGGGAGGCACCCACCATGCTTGTCAGCCGCGTTGACGTCTGCTCCAAGATCCAGGAGGCGCTGCAGGCAGGGCAGGCGCTCGGGCTCCTCACTGGCCAGGTCCAAGGGGCTGCTCTCATGGATCTGAGCCAAGAAAGCATAGCTGAATGGGCCTGGGGGCCTGTGAGGCTGCCCATAGCCCCCCACTCACCACATCCCTGCTTCAGAGCAGGCTGGACCCGGCCCTTACCCGGTCCCTCCGGTTAATGTCGGCCCCGTGGCGCACCAGCAGCTCCACCATGTCCGGCTGGTTTCGCAGGACGGCGATGTGCAGGGCCGTGTAGTAAGTGACAGGGTCTGCAGGCACAGACACAGCTCGTCTAAGTCCTATCGGCCCCAGCCCTCTTCCCTGAGGAGACCCAGGCTTCTGTCACCATGAGGGGTCAGGACAGAGCCATCCTCATCAGGTGCCAGAGCGCAGGCTCTGGAGTCAGACCTAGGTCAGGATCCTGGGGGCATCCTAGTGGGCGCAGCACCTCACCTGTCTGGGCTTTAGTCTCTTCTGTAAAATGGAACCGTAAGGGGGCCTCTTCTCAGGCTGCTAGGAGAAGCACCCGGAGTGACAGCTTCTGAAGCCTGGTAGTAACAGCCACATCCTCGAAGCCAGTCTCCAAATGACTGACTTCCTAACAGGCCCCGTGCCCCTCAGCTCCTCAGCCCTCCAGGAGCCTAGCACCCTCTGAGCCTGTCCTCAGAGGGGAGGGGAGGCGTGCCTGGCCATGTGCTGTGTTGGCTCAAAGACCAACTCAGTCACAGGTCAGCCCTGTATGTCTCCTGGCTGACCCTGCCCACCCTGGTAAGAAGGCCAGAGAAGTAAACTGGCTCCATCCCCATCCCCTGGCTCTCTGGGCTAGAAGCTAACCCAGCCCTGTTGTGATTTACACCCAGTGTCACTTCTGTGTTTTTCCCTCTCCTGTGGCATGAGCAAAAATGCGAGATGGCTCTGAATAAGTGGCAGAAAATTGCTCTCCCTGAGCTCTGGGCATAGTGCCAGCAACCACATTTTCATGTTAATGGAACCCAGGATTTAGCTGGGCAAGTGTGCTGATCAATCACATGGTGGAAGCAGCAACCAACTCACCCTTGAAGCAGAGGTGGTAAGAGCCATCTGAAAGCCCACAGGGGGATGGGGTTCCTTAGTCACCACCCATGGAAGAAATAAGGAAAGTGGCTCCCAGGAGAACAGGAGAAGCAGTGCCTGAAGGCTTGGCTCCCCACCCAAGGCAGAGCCCCACTTAAGCCACCTATCCACCCCACCCCCAGCCCCTCTGGGCTCCAGCTGACCTTCAAAGTTGAGGTTGGCCCCATTGCGCAGGAGAACATCGGCTGCCCGGGTCAGTCCCAGTTCGGCCATCTTCAGCAGGGCATTGCTCACACCTTCCTGGTAAAATGGAGAGTGGGCCTTTCTCTCCAGCAGCTCGGTGAGAACAAGGATTCGGCTCTCCTCGCTGGCAACATAACTGGGCCTGGGGCAGGAGAGAGGTGGACCAGTTGGGGTGGGGGTGGGGGATGGCTGTAGGACTAGCTAGCCTGCACACCCTGTGGGTGGGTGGTCTGCTGTCATCACCCCCAGGGAGGATCCTGGTTCTGCGAGGGCAGGAAGTCTCTTTGGAAAAAGGCCAGTGGTATAGCAAGCTGGATCTTTTAACTTCAGATGACTCCTTGCGTTTGCTAAGAACTGGGGCTGTCTCCAGCCTCCTCTCCAGTTGCCCAGACAGTCTGGTCCCTGGATTGAGTACAAAGATTCACAGCTATGGTGCTGGGCCTGAAGGGGAGCCTCTGCAGCCAGGTGCAAGAAGCAGACATTGGCACCCTTTCCCCTGACACTGACTGTCCCTGAGCTGCAGAGGAGGCCAGACCAGGCAACCGCCACAGCCAGGGCAGCCCAGGCCCTCCTGTGCTCACACTCAGATGTCTAACCCCCCAGGCCCCAGAAGGCTGAGTGCACACTTGGCCCTTCACACCCCAGCACCAACCCTACCTGTCTTCCAGCACTGACCTCCAAGAGCTGCTGTGGCTTTCTCCAGAAGCTCAGGCCTGCAGGCAGCTCCTTCACAGGCCACCACCTCTGGGTGAGGCCTCGCTTCCTCACCAATGCTCCCTACTCCCCTTAGCCTCACCCCTCTGGGACCCTTCAGTTGTCAGAATCAAAGTCCGACCCCCTGCCTGGACAGGATTCCGACTGTTTCCCCAGCCTGGGAGGGTGCCCGGTGCTCCACGGATACACAGCAAAAAATTCTGGTACTAGGAAAGGCCACACAGCACACCCTTTGCTGCCCCGCCCTCACCCTCACAGCAGCCTTAAAGTTAAGGAGACATCTCACACTGTTTTCAAAACAAGCCTCAAAGCCAACAGCAGCGAAGACGCATGAAACCCACTGGGTTTGAAATCCCAAGGGATTTCCCAGAAACACGCCTGCTTCGGCTCTCTCTGCTCTTCTCTCCATTACACCGAATGGACACACACCCGACTAGTGACCGTCAGTCTCTCCCCTCTGAAGTATGAGCATCACCGAGGCTGGGGGTTTCCTTTAGCTCACTGACGCATCCCCGAATACCTTTCCCACCTGCTCGTCTATGTAAGATGCAAACTCAGCTACAGAATTCAGTTTCGCACTGCTCTCGGGTAAAAACTGAGGCCCGCAGACTCCTCCCTGCTCCCTTGCAACTGGCAGGCAGGGCCGAGGGTGGGGCATCGAGGCGCAGGCCCCGCCGGCACCCCACCCTCCCGGCCTCCCGGCGCGGGCCTGGAGCACTCTCCACCCTGCAAGGGGCAAGACCTGGGCCAGGTGCAGGAGCTCAAAGCAACGCAACTCCGGCCTCCGCCCGCCTCTGCATCGGTACAGCGGGGACACAGCCACCCCGACCCCCGCCACGCCTGTGGAGATCATTAAGGGGGGCAGCGCCGGGTCGGCCGCCGGCGGCAGCGAAGCTACTTACCCGTCCAGGGGCTCCTGCCGCTCGGGGTCCTGGATCCCCAGGGAGCCCAGGATCGCATCCACCAGCGGCTGGTACTCGAAGATGATCCTCCGGAAGCCGTGCAGGAACGGCATCGCGGCGGCCTCGGCGGCGGCAGGGCGGCCGCACCTTCCACGGAGGCCGAGGTGCCGACCAGGCGCGTCCCGGCGGCGACGGGCTCGACCTGGCTCCTGCGGGACCAGCCCCCGCGCCCCGCCGGCCCGCCGCCCACCCGGCTGCTCCGCGGCGGAAGTGCGAGGGTCACTTCCGGCCGCTCCGGCTAGGGAAGCGGCGGGCGGCCACAGCGCCCCCTGCGGGCTGGGAGGGCCGCGGCGCGCCCCGGAGCGCGAGCCGGAGCGCGAGCCGGAGCATCCGGGGGGCCAGCCCCGGCCGAGTGGGGGTCGCGGGTTTGCCGGCACACGGGATCCCCGCCCGGCGCTGCGATCCCGCCCGCCGCCGCTGGGCGCCGTCCGAGCTCCGCCCATTGCGCTCCCCGGCCGGTCGCTGCCCAAATTCCCGGGCGGTAGAGGTGCCTGGAGCCCCGGGCGGCGCCCCCGGGTCAGACCTCCCTGCGGCCGGGCCTGGCTCTCGCCTCCCGTCACGCAGGTGGACGCGCACCCACCACAGTTCCGTACTCTCCCCCGCAGCTCCTGGCCCTGCAGGCCGCCAGCTCCTTCCACTCTCCGCCTCGATGGACCCCGTGAACCTGAATTACTCCCCCGTAGGACGGGTAATCGTACCCACCGAGGGCTGCTGGGTCGGGAGCTCGGCCGGTGTCAGGGCGTGGCGGCCGCAGGAAGGAGCCCGAGGCTGGGGCCTCTTGCCCTAGGTCATCCGCTGCGACCTCCACCCCCTGGGGTCCCACATCGGAGCCCGGCCGCCCTCCCGGACTCCAAAGCCCTTCCTCGAGAGCTGTGCGGTCGCGGTCCCGGCCTCGCACCCCCGCCACGCGCCCTTGGGCTCTCTCCCATCCGGCACCTGCCTCGGGCGAAAGTTGCTGAGTGAAGGAGAAGAGGTCTAGAGAGCCGTTCGAAGACAGTCTTCCTCCCCCACCACGGGCAGAACAGACGTACCCGGGAAACCCAATCCTAAGCGTCTGGCTACAGGGGCCCAGCAGGGGCCAGTCTGCAGCAGGGGCTGCATAATTAATTCTTGCTGTTATTGTTAAGTTTGCAAGGTTGCTGCACAGATCAAATGACAAGCTATCAAAACCTCCATTGACACCCAAAACACCTGTTTGCCTCTGCCTCTGTTGCCTGGAAGGGCCAGAAGGAGGGGTGGGAGGGGTGGGCAGCTTGGACTTGGCCGGAGGGGCTCCAGACCACCGGGTCCATGCCTCCCAGCACACGCTTGCCTTGATTCTCACTCCAGGAAAGTGTGTCTGTGTGAAGATTTTATCTATTTGAGAGAGAGAGGGAGAAGCAGGCTCTCCGCTGAGCAGGGAGCCCAATGCAGGGCTTGATGCCAGGACCTCAGGATCAGGACCTGAGCTGAAAGGCAGACGCTTCACCAACTGAGCCCAGGCACCCCAAGAAGTGTCTTTGTGAGCGACATTGAGAAATTTTGCTCACACTGATCTGGAGCTTTCCATCTTATCCCATAAAATCAGAAGATTGGGTACCTGGGCCCAAATTCCCATCTGGCAACAGCAAGCATCTGAGTGGGGCACTTGCTCCAGTGTGCCTCAATCTCCCCAGGTGTTAGTCCCCCCCCCCAGGGGAGGGGGCTGGGAATGTCTATCCCTCTTTGAAGTATCCACACCCTGCCTCTCCATCCTGAGGTCCTCAGTGGTGTGGCAGCTGATAGGCAACCAGAGGCTTCTCAGCCCTTCCCATTTGATTCAGGGTCACTGGCTCCATGGCACAGGTCAGGGGGCCTGACTTGCTCCTGAGAATGTGGTGAGGAAGCCTTTTCGGATGGGGCCCAGCACAGACCTGGGGGGACCACATGGGCTGAGGCCCACTGCTACCTGGCTCCGCTGGTTTCCTAAGGCTGTCATAGGAAAGCATCGCAGGCTGGGCAGCTGGAAACAGCAGTGTATTTTCTCCCAGTTCCTGGAGCGAGAAGTCTGAAAGCAAAGCGTCAGCAGGCAGAGACTTAGCTCCATCCAAAGACTCTAGAGAAAGTTCCTTCCTAGCCTCTGCTGGCTCCTGGAGGCCCCCGGCTTTCCCCGGGCTTGTGGCAGCTCTGTTCCCATTTCTACTCCTGTGTTCACGTGGCCTTCCTCCCCATGTCTCCCAGATCTTGTTCTTTCTGACACCAGTCATTGGATTTAGGACCCACCCTAATCTCGTACAAATTCATTTTAACTCAATTACATTTTTGGGATGCCTGGGTTGCTCAGCAGTTGACTGTCTGCCTTCAGCTCAGGGCGAGATCCCGGGATCCAGGATCGAGTCCCACATCTGGCTCCCCTCAGCGAGCCTGCTTCTCCCTCTCTGCCTGTGTCTCTGCCTCTCTCTGTGTGTCTCTCATGAATAGATAAAATCTTTAAAAAGAAAAAAAAAACTTGATTATATTTGCAAAAATACCCTATTCCCCAATAAGTTCACCAGCAAAAGTACCAGAGGCTCTGATGCATGGACCCCCACCCTCCATGGCCCTCTGGTCTCGGGTCTCAGTTTCCTCACTGAAGGCCCTTCAGCTGACAATCTTGCAGCCCATGGTGTTGCTGGTGGGCTTTGCCAACAAGAAAGCTAATTATCTTGTGACCAATAAAGTAATGGTAATGAGTTAGCGGTTACTTACTGACCCTTTCTGATGTGCCAAGCTCTGTGCTAATCTCAGTCAACTCCATTAAGTAAATGATGGTGTTATACTATTTTTCAAACAAGGAAACAGGGCTCAGAGAGGTTTGGAGGCTCGCCTGACGTTGCACAGCTGGGTTGAGGGACGTGGGTGCCCCTCCCTCCATCTGGTGTTTAGGAGTGGAGTGACCCCGCAGCTCCTCTGGGTGTGGACCTGAGCGGGTCTGCAGAAACAGGGGTAAGGAGCTGATCCCTGCTCTGTCACGGCCCCTGGGCACCACACTGTGGAGCCAGGCCCCGCCGCCTGCCTGTCGCCCAGGCTCCTGTCTTTAGAAAACTCCTTGACCCCTGACCTCCCTCCTGTCAGCAAGGGCAACCTTGTTTCCTCCATCTGTCTCCCATTAAGGCTCTGTCACTCAGAGCCTCTGATTTAAGTTCCGAACCTTCTCTCTTCTTTCCTTGCCACTGCCTCTCACTGCTCTGCCAGCCTAGCCACTTCCTCCGCCTAATTCCAGGATTCCTGAGCAGCCTGGGGGTTCTGGAGCCAAGCCCCTGGTGCTCAGACTCTGGCTGGGTCTGCCCCCTGCCCCAGGGAATTTGGGAGTCCCTCTGACTATCTGGTGTACAGAGAGGGCTAACCTTAATATATAAAGAACTATTAAAAATCAATAAGAAGAAGGCAGAAACACTAACAGAAAAACATGCACAGGTGAGTCCCAAAGGTTGAAAAACTGTTAACCTCGAGGAGAGAAGTTTAGCCTCTCTGGCTGTCTGGCATCAGCAGGGGTAACAGCTGATGTGGGACTTAGCTCACGTGAGACTCTGCTCTATAGCAGTTGAACAAAGCCAGTCAGAGAAAGGAGGTACTATGTGATTTCCACTTAGGAAGAATTGGCGTGTGCGTGTGTGCACCCGTGTACCCGCGGGTACGTAAGCAGGGCTTTGTTGATGGCCCTATGCTAGGATGTTGGTGGCTCTTTCTGGTGCTGGGATCTGAGGAACTTTTATCTTTTTTTGTGTTTCTGTGTATTTTCTTCCTTTATATCAACGAGTGTCTTGCCGGTGATTCAAGACATTGAATCAGCCACAGGCGGGAAATCAGGCCCTGCATACTCCTCCTGTACCTAGGGTCGAAGAGAAGGCTGTGCACCCCAGAGCCAGGCCCCGCTCTGTCCACAAAATCCTTCTCCCAACACCGTCAAGTGACATCCTTCCCAGCATGCAGGTCACCTGCCCTGGTGGCCCCCCAGCCAATGGCAGCCATGGTGGAGTGTCCCGTGTCCCGTGAATTAGATTAGAGGCTCGATGTGCACGATCTCACTGACTAGTCATAAAACCCCAGGCAGGAAGGAGCAGCAGGATTCCCACATTGCGGTCCGAGGCTCAGAGGCCAGCGAGTTCCTGAGGGGCCCCATCAGGATTCACACCTGGAGCCTGGCTCTTAACCTCTCCCCGGAGCCACCCGTCCAGCCCCTGCCCTGCTCACACACTCTGGCTCACACACTCCTAGACCCTCACATGCTCAGGCACGCATACTCTCTCACACTCACGCATGTACTTGGGCCATGGACTCTCACACATGGTCCTGAAGGCTCACACGTGTGCGCAAACCGATGGCTACACTCATGAGCCATCCTCACACCCTGTACACTCTTGCCAACATATTCTCACACAGGCACATGCTTCCTCAGCCACCCTATTTAACCTCGCTCACACGGTCTCTCTCTCTCTCTATCACACACGTGCACACACGTGCACACACTCACACACACAGGGTGGGCAGCTCCGGGGAGGGTCTGGGCCTGCTCCATTCCCAGGACCCTCACCTCCCCAGACCCCTGTGCCCACAGCAGGGAGGGGTGTCAGCAGCCAGGTCTGTCCCTTTTAAGGCCCTCGATGGGGACATTGGGTGAAAGGCCCCCCCTTTCATTTCTTTTGATTTGGCCAAGGTTCCGTAAAGTGAGATGTTTGGACACGTGGCCACCCATCTGCAGGAATACTGCCTCCTCTGGTTTTTGGGCTGCCACCAGCCTCAGCCCCTGGCATGTCCTAGGGGCACCGAGGCACAGAGATGGAGGGTGAGGAGGATTGGTGATGGGAGCGGGGCCACAGTCATGGGACAGGTCACCCCCGGGGCTTCCTCCTGTCTGCCCTCCTTCAGCCCCCTCTTCCTCCCCCTCTCCCTTCCCCTTCCCCTCCCCCACATCCTGACCCCACCCTGACCCCTGACTCTCATGGCCAGAGCCTGCTGGGGGCAGGGGTGCTGCTTGGAAGGACAAGGCCTCAAGTCTCTGCTCCCAGAAGCTCAACCCTCTGTGGGCTCAGGGGGTAAACTGAGGGACAAGGAGGCCGGGAGGAGGAGGGGACAGTAGGATCTCGAGGCCAGGGAAGACTTCCCTGCCCCTCCCGCCTTCCATCTGTTCTCCTAAGAAGCCCCTGACACCCAAGACCCCCGGGTCGGCTGGCCAGAGCCCGCTCCAAGGGCAGCCTCCCCCGGACACGGT